GATCTGGACGAAGACATTACGGTCGAGCTGGCTGATCAAAAGTAGAATTGTTCGAGACCTCAGTCTCCCAACTTATAATATTCCACCAAGTGGCGATGGGTTTGTGTCGAGAGTCTCATCTCTTTCTTTAAAACCTTTCAAACACCAAATCTATTTTTATATAAAGCTTTGCATTGAAATTAAACTTGATTATGGGTTAAGCTTAATATATAATGTATTCATAATCTAATTATCCTTTATTGGAAGGAACCCCAAGTCAAGCCCAAGTTCTTGAATTTCTCAAGAAACTTTACAAAAAATCATCACCCTTCTCTAAATGGTTTTGTTCTATTAGTTAACTGTTTAGATATTTATGTAGAAAATTCTAGATATTGTAAGACAAAAATCTTGATACTATGGTAGAGAATTTTGGAGATTAGGATAAAGCTTGTAAGACATTTTGTAGTTTTGGAGCCTATAAATAGCTCTCTCTTCCTCCCATTTATAATCAAGGTGAATAAAAAGCAAGATCAAAGAAATAGTATTATTCAATGTGTTCTTCCTTATTTTTCTTCATACTTGAAGGTAATACTTATCTTGGGTTTTTTTCTCGAGTATTACGGTCTTGCGCTAGTGCTAGCACTATCGGGTTTCGTTACACTTTGCAGTCTCCCAACTAATTATTCTTAAAGTATGTCCAGTTAGCTATATACATACAGAGAAAAACTGGCTACGAGCCATTTGATTCACAAGGTGTTCTTTGTGTTGTCACTTTAGAAAATACACTTTCAACTAACGGACTTGGGATCATAAGTCCATGGAGGATCTTATACAATTTTTCCCAAGGTTCTAGTACAGCTATAACATATATATCTATGGTGTGTGCAGGATCTTCAAATTACCCCATTTGTCTTCTTTTTCCCGCAGTACATTAGGTATCAATGATCTTATGTGTATGATGCAAACCCTGGGCCATACCACCCTCAGCATCCACACCTTTGTAATGTTTTCTTTTTAAAAATTTTTTATAAAGAAATTACAATGATTTACATATGGTAAATAGTTCTCAATAAATTTACTTGTGGAGATTTGAGAAGCTGTTAAATAGATTGCGTCTGAACATGATTACATTTACTAGTATGAAGTCTAGGGTCTCCTCAGGATCTTATGACCATGTCTACTTATAAATTTATAATGTAGAGACCGTCAACGGCGGACCTATGTTCAGCAAAGGTGGGTCAACTGACCCCCTAAAATTATGAAATAGTCCTTAGTTCTAGCAATTATTACTAATTGATAACTTCATTAGTTTCTTTTTGCACCCCCTATTTAAATTGTTTTCTTATGCATCCATAATGAGTTTTTTTGCACTCATTAATTATTTTATTCATTTTATATCTAGTTACATTGTTTAATTTGTTGTTTTCCAAAAAAAAGATCATTCTTTATGTATTTTGATTAAAAAAAATCTAAAATTTCAAAAAAATACAATTTTTATTAATACATACAGAAAATTAATTTATGTAATTTTTATCTTCTTAACAAAGTTAACGATATTGACCCGGTAAAATATATTTCTAGGTCCGCCACTGGAGACCGTTATCAGTATCCAAAATTTTTTTAAGCATTCAGTACGCAACGCATCAGTCTTTTGGCACCTTGGGTTCCATCTTCTTTGTGAGCGAATGAAAATCAAACGAAAGAGATTATAGATAATGGTACGGAATCAGAATGCTACCTCCGAGAGTTAATGAGAATTCAAAATGGGAAACTTGATGGGCAAGTCACTTCCTTTAGTATTAATGTAGAGTTCTTGGTGAGAGAAGATCGCTAATTCTTCAATTAGGGTTTTTTTCCCTTTCTTACATCTTCTACTTTTTGCAAGAACATTATTCATGTCTCTGCTTCTCAACCATCCCTCGAAGCTCTGCTTTCGGAAACCCTTGTTGGTAAGAACATCTCCTCTTCTCTCTAATGGCGTCTCATTTTCCTTGCCGCAAAATCCATTTTCTGTCATAATGTACGATGATCCTTGTGGAGCTGATCTTGGAAAACTCTTCATTAGGAGGGCTGGTCACATCACTCCTCTTGAAAAGAAGATGCCTCTTAAGGAAATGGGAATGATTGGATCATCCAATGGATGGCTAGCTACTCTCAAGGACGGGTTCGTGGGTCTCCAAGACGTTGATCTAAACCCGGTTGCATCGGATACAGATCCTAAACACATTTCTCTGCCTCCTTTTCTAACTCTGCCTCATTGCCAAACCCAAATTGTCACCAACGTGGCCATGTCCTCGTCTTCTCCAGAGGATGAGGACTGTGTTGTAGCTGTCAAGTTCTTGGGACCTCAAATAAGCTTTTGCAGACCGGCTCAACGTAACCCTGAGTGGATCAACATCAGAGTTGGAAGCCCCTGTTTCTTCTCCTCCCCTGTCATGTTTTCCAAGAAAGATGACATGTTTCACGTACTTGGATCTGGAGGCCACCTCATTGAATCATGGGATCGCCACACACAAACGCACAAACCTAAGTTTCAGAGATTTTGGTTCAAAACGATTCCCAATCTGACCAAGGCCAACAAAGAGCTTCTTGATTCGTGTTGCAAGAGGGAACACTTGGTGGAGTCAAGAACCACCAATGAAACTTTCCTGGTTAAGCAGTACAAGAAGACCGCAGAGATCATCAATGGTATTGCCAGAATGAAAACAGTAGCTTTAATGGTGTTCAAGCTAGAGAAAATAGAAAAACTTTTTTACACTCAAGACATTGGAGATCTCTGCATTTTCCTCACAAAGTATGAAACTTTCTGTGTCCCTTCGAGCTCTTTTCCGGGCTTGTTTCCTAACCACGTCCAAATCTTGGATTCCGAAGAAACCGCAATTGTCAATCTCGCTGATCAAAATTGGAATTTTTAGAGTCAGTCCCCTTACTAGAAGTTTGGAATTGAGTTTTGAGTCTGGAGTCTGTCCTTTCTTTTGAACTTTTCAAACATCAAATCTATTTATATGATCTCAAGCTCTTTTCTTTGCTATGTACAACCTAGCAAAGGAGCCAAAGATAAACCTAGTGTAGTGTTCCTTGGACTATGCAATGATCTAGTGTCAAGAAACTGTGACAGAGACCAGTAGAAAACTTTACCTGATTCAAATTCCAGATTAACGGCAGATACGGCGTAGCGAGCACTG